ATCGGTTGCGTAATCAACCTTAACTCTTGAAAATGGCTCCGATTACTAGTGAGTGAAGAGATGTTTGTTTCACTGCCATGACAAACTGATCTAGCTTGATTTTTTGATAGAAATTCATACTATCTAACCATGGCATATTGTAATAGATATAGCTAATGAATGATTTTTCTATGACATTATTCTCTTTGTATTTAATTGGAAATTGCATTACAATATGGAAACATAGCTTAAAAAAGAAATACACAACCAATTCTGATACCGGATTCCAATGAATCTGAGGTTTGGATGCAAATTGATTCAAAGAATTTAGTAATGACTGTTAAACATATTCTCTAAGACATTAGAAATAATGTTTATTGTTCTTAATCTTGATTTATTTTAATATGAGCAAACATTGATTGTCTTATGCTTTGATTCATTAAAGGATGAGTTTCATTATTGGAATAATATTCTCGGTGAATTGGGCAAAGCTTTTTGTGTTTGTGAAATATTAATTAATGATAGAATCAATGTCTCGGTTTAGAGATTGATGATGCACTTTAAGTAAGCTTATAAGGTTTCATAGTGTAAACCCTGCAGGTGGATTTTGAATCCGACACATGAAATAATGAGCGACAATCTTAAAGTTATATTGTGATTTAAATAAATTGTCAGTAAGTTATTTAAATGACAGCATCTATGACAGCATCTGTAATCTTAACATGGGGAACATTATTTTATTATGTTGTGGAAAATTGTAAAATAATTTAAGAGTTACAGTCATGAAGTTTTTTAGTGAAATAATGTGGAATAATTCATGATTAATTATAATAAGAATATGTTGGTCTACATAGGTTATTATTATAATTAGTAGCCTGATTTATTTTATTCCTGAGGTCCCTGTAGTGCCCTAATTATTTGGAAAGTTAAGGGTGTATTAAATAATAGATAAATTATTCAGTTTTAAAATAATTGATAATTATTTTAATTAAATAATTTTTTATTTAATTTATTTTATATTAAAAAAAAATATCTTTCTATCGAAGAGAGTTTTTTTTAATATAAGATTTGAAAACCCTAAGAATAGAGAGACGCACGTTATTCTATTCTCTGCCACTCAGAGAGATAGTTAGGGATTATTAGGGATTACTGCAGAGATCAGTGGGTGACTCCAAGATCTCTGAAAAGAAGACCGGTAGGTTGGCGATTCTGCGCCTTCAAGAGGTCAGTTTATTTTGATTTTTGTTCTAGATAATGTTTTAGTTTGCCTCATATTGGTTTCGCATAAGGGTTGTTTCCGGCTTGTATACTCCGCTCCATCAATTGGTTATCAAGCATTACAAACTGTATGATGGTGCTATCTCTTGTCATTGTTTCGATCGTTTTTATCATATATTATCTTTTTGATTTGTTTTGAGTGTGGTCGGTATTGTGTTAGTTGAGCTTTGAGTTTCTTCGAAGTAGACTGCAGTACATATTAATAGTGCAGTACTTCTGTTTTCACATTTTTTTTTGATATTATCTTGTAGTTCTTTTTAATGTTGTCGGCATATTTATATAAATTCATTATATTATAAAAAAAAAGCATTTACTTGTTTTTTATATTACTTTTATTAGGTCTTGTAGTTGTTATTATATGTATAGTTCTTTACATTTTGTTTAATTTAATTAAATGGATTAGTATATCTTTATTTCTTTTTATTTATTATTTATTTTTTGGTTGTTCGATTGTTTTTGTTATTTAATTTTTTTTTTGGTATTATTTTGTTTGATTGATGTAAGGAGAGGTGCATAGATAAGTACATAGGTTTTATTTTTGTTGTTGTTGACAGGATCAGTAGAGGTGTCGGCAAGAATAAAATATATATATTGGAAGGTGGCCTTTTTTTAGCGCGCGTGTGTTTTTATTAATGGCTTTTTTGATGGGAAAATAGGGCGGCGGTTAGGCTGTCTTCGTGATAAGGAAGAGAGCTGCTTGGCTTGCCCAAATTCCCTTCTGCGTGTTCCTCTTAATTTAAATTTTTATTATTTTGACCCCTGATCTTTTAATTGTTTTTTATTGTTTTGACCGGATACTGTGTGTTAGTGAGTAGTAATTTTAAATCTCGCTCTGAACTTTAATTTGTGTGTTTATATATGTTGATCATAGTATTTGTTTATTGTTCTCGTTTTGTGGCCTTTTCTGGAGTTTTTTTAAATTAATAAAGTGACCTGAATGTTTCTTTATTTGGTATTTTCTTGTGGTTGGTTGGGTTGATTAATATTATTTTATTTTTTGTCCCGTAGGTGTGTTCATTTTTGTCTCGATAATTTTTGTTGTTTTTTGTTCCCAAATAGTTTCTGTTTTATGCAAAATAGTCCAAACAAGTTCTGAATTTGCGAAAATGCGCCAAGGAATGTTTTCTGTTTTTTGCAGATTAAACCAGAATGTTTTAATTTATTTGCGATGAATAGACTCATGTACTCTCACTATATGTTTGTACTCTCGAATTACCAAAGTTGGTTAAGTTGTAGTTTGCTTCAAAATTTGTTCTTTAAAAATATATTATTTTGCAATTTTTTGATTATAATTAATTATTTTAGTTGATTATAATTAATTTATTTTAATTATATGAATTAATTTGTGAGTGGTTTTTTATTACTTTCTAGTTATAATTATTTGCATTTCTTCCCCATGGAAGATGTCATGTTTTAATATAATTACTGAACTAGTCTAATTTGTTTGTATTGATTTAACTCTCCATCTGAGTAAATTAATTAGTGACATGAATCAGATGTAATATTTTCTCACACATTAATGTTAATTTAAGAGGCATGCTATCTCCCATCGAGTAGTATGTGCCGGTCTTATCTAATTATAATATGCAAAACATGTGATTGGTTGAATTCTCCCATCGAGGTTGCTATTCATGAATGTCATCATTTATGTGTTTTTATTCTTGTTTATTGTTTGTGATATGTGTTATTGTTTTTTGAATTGTTGATATCCATATATTTTATATCTCTCCAATTTTGAATTTATATTCTTTTATTATTGATTTGTTGTATTTGCTATTTTTGTTTTTTATTATGTAATGTTAATAGTATAATTGGCATCTATTTTCTTGAGTCCCCTTGCAAACATTCTTAGATTAAATCAGATTATGAGGCGTCCATTACTTGTTTTCTGGTGAATAGTGAGTGGAATATTTGGTTTTTTGCTATACTGCTGTGGTTATGTGGTTTTGAAGAAATGGCATCATTCAGTCCCCTTGCAAACATCTTAACCCAAAACAAACTTGAGGGTCCAAACTATGTTGACTGGAAGAGGAATTTGGACATTTTGCTTATTGCTGAGGATTATAAGTTTGTGCTTACTGAAGTTTGTCCTGAAAAACCCGGTGAGGGTGCCTCTGAGGAGGTCGCCAGAGCTTACCAGAAATGGGTTAAAGCTGATGAGATGGCGCGATGCTACATTTTGGCTTATGTGTCAAATGTTTTGCAACATCAGCATCAGAAGATAGACACAGCTTTTGACATGCTCGAAAATCTCAAGGAGATGTTTGGAGATCAAACTAGTGCAGCAAGGCAAAATGCACTGAGGGAGATTCTTACTCGATAGTGTGGGAGGAGGTAACTCCAGTTAGGAACTGCATGTCCTTGATAATATGTGGTCTTCTTATATTGATTGGAGGTTTCTCTGTGGGGGGTTTTGTTGTGCCTGTTGTGCAGTGGGTTGACTCTCCATGTTCTACACAATTATTAGATTGATCTTGTGATAACAGCTCTCGTTGTCCAGCCTGTTTTTCTCTAGCGAGGTTCTGTTTGTTTAACATAGTAACAGATGAATAAGATGGATTATCACTCTTTGTCTTTTAGTATGCTTGATGAGACTATGGTGTGTTTGTTCGTGCTGACGACTAATATTCAAGTGTTAGATGCAATTGGGAGCTTTACTAATCTTCGTGTTGTCTGTCTTAATTGGTGGTAGCGATTTATTGGGTCTCTTTTCGCATATGTTGGGTTGAGCGAGGTTCTTCTTCTGCCCAGAATAAGGGTAAGAAGAAGAAAAATGCTCACAAGGCTAAGCCTAAAACAAGTGGTGCATCTACTAGTGCAAGTGTTACTGTGAAAAAGCCTAAGGGTAAGTGTTTTCACTACAAGCAACCTGGGCACTGGAAGTCACAATGTCCAACATGGTTAGCCAAGAAGAAGCAAGGTATGTCTTTGTTTTATGTGCTGATAGTTGAAACTTGTTTAGCGGTGTTGACTATACTCCAATGGTGTGTAGATTCTGGAGCCACTAATCATGTCTGCAATTCATTGCAGGGGTTTCAGGTAACTCGTCAGCTAAATAAAGGAGATGTAAGCGTTTAGGGTTTAAGAAGTTTCGTTCAGCTTTAAATAGATATGTTAGTATTGTATAGTTATTTTTGTGTGGAGCTGGCTATACTCGTAGTATGTTTTTTTTTAGTCTATAAGTGGATAAATGTGTTTCTTTATTTTTTTGTGTTTATTTGAATTCTGGAGAATAATAGAACTTGTTTGAAGGATGTTTTATATGTACCTTTCAATTAGAAGGAATTTAATTTCAGTTTCTAGTTGCAGCAAGAATGGATATTCGGGTTGTTTTAATGAATTTTATGAGATTTCTGTCGTTTATTAAATTTTAGAAAACAAATTATATGTTCTGGCTCAATGATTGTGATCCTTTTATTTCTCAAAGTTTCACCTGAATTGCAAAATTCCTAATTCTGAATTGATTAATAAACTTTGATGTCATTGTTCATTGAAAAAGAAAACGTCTATGAATTTAGTCATACTTATTCTGTGGCATTTTAAGGCTTGGTCATATTATTTAGAATAGGATTTCTTAGGATTTCTAGGTTGGTCAAGGATGGACCATTGAGTTCATTGAAAGTGGAGGCACTACCAACCTGTGAATCTTGTTTAGAAGGTAAAATGACTAAGAGGCCTTTCCTATAAAGGGTAATAGAACTAATGATGTACTTGAATTAATTCATTCTGATTTGTGTGGTCCAATGAGTGTCCAAGCTAGGAGTGGTTTTGAGTATTTTGTGACTTTCACAGATGATTTCTCAAAATATGGATACATTTACCTGTTGCGCCGTAAGTCTAAATGCTTTGAGAAAGTCAAAGAGTTCAAGGCAAAAACGGAGAAACGACATGGAAAATATATCAAGTCGTTACGATCTGACCGTGGTGGCGAATACCTCTCTAGGGAATTCATTACTTATTTATCAGAACAAGGAATTACTTCACAGTTGTCTGCACCTGGTATGCCACAACAGAATGGTGTAGCCAGAAAAGAAGAAATAGGCATGCTTATGAATGGTTTAGATCAATGATGAGTTATTCAGATTTGCCCATTTCGTTGGGGGTATGCCATAGGAAACGCAGCATATATTCTTCAATTTTTGGTTCCATCTAAAGTCAGGTACCTAAAACTCCTACAGAAATGTGGATGGGCGAAAAGCCAAGTCTAAGACCATGTTCGGTATTGTCGGGGTTGTCCAGCCATGTGGCTGAAGGGGAAAGCAGATAAGTTGGAATCAACAACAGACTTATGCTTCTTTATTTGGATATCCTAGAGAACGAAAAGGTGTTATATTTTATAGTTCTCAAAGATAAAAAAAACGGTCATTGTTTTAGCCACCAATGCGCACATTATCTTGAGGAAAAGGCTATATTAAAACCATATTCCCAAAAAAGTCATTAGCCTCTTGTATAATTGGAGGAGAAAATATACCAAACTAGACCTTTCACATAGAACAACAACCTAAAACCATCAATGGTTTGGAGCTGACATTCCATTTGCCCTGCCTAGCGTAGTGGAAGAAATTGTTTTAGTCGATCAGTAAATCAACATCAGGCCTGAATATTCAGTACCTAACATTTCACTTACCACCCTGAAAGTAGGGGAGTATTGTAGAAACTGATGGCAGCTGATTGATTCCAAATTATACAGGAGCACAATGGTTGGGGCTTCTAACATTTTATTGCCTTCCTGGTTTGATAGACAGACATGTTGAAGTTCCAGGAACAATGATTTCAAGATGTAGTCTACCAGTCATGGACTTGCCGCTTTACAGCCACAGCAAAATGAAGGTCGTTGATTGCAGAACCTGTAGCTACTTCGTCGTAGTGGGAGAATTAGACGACACCGGTTCGATATACACTTTTTTGGGAGAAGCTTTTGATAGAATCCCTGAAGAATGTGAATTATTGAACCTGGTCTGTTACGATTGAAGCACTAAACAAGATAAAGATGCTGATAAGACTGGCTTGTAGCTATGAATCTGAGATGGAGTCCATGTGTACTCTAATCAAAGTCTGGGAACTTGTAGAACCACCTGAAGGGGTTAAACCCAGTCGGATGTAAGTGGATCTATAAGAAAGAGGGTATAGACGGTAAGTGCAAACTTATTAAGCAAGGCTTGTTGCGGAAAGGCCGTTTTACATCGAAAGAAGGATCGATTATTGAGGAAAACTTTTTCAGCCAGGTTAGTCATGCTAAAGTCTATTAGAACTCTTTCTATCATTGCAGCTCATTATGATTATGAGATTTTGGCAATGGATGTCAAGACAAGCTTTCCTAAATGGAAGTTCTTGATGAATGCATCTATATTGAAAGCAACCAGAGGTTTCATAAACAATGGACCAAGAAAATTTGGCTACAATGGACAAGAAAATTTGCTTTGCAAATTGAATAGGTCCATTTATGGGCTTAAACAAGCATCTAGGTCATGGAATACTTGTTTTGACCAAGCGATTAAAAGTTTTGGCTTTGATCAGTGTCATGATGAGTCTTGTGTGTATTAGAAATGGAATGGTAGTAAGGTTGTTTTTTGGTACTATATGTGGATGATATTCTGCTTATAGGGAATTGTGTAGGTATGTTGAATTCTGTCAAAGATTGGCTGTCCCAACGTTTTGATATGAAGGATTTGGGAGAGGCTGCTCATATTCTTAGGATTAAGCTTATGCGAGATCGCAAGAAAAGGATGATTGGCTTATCTCAAGCACTTTTTATTGATACCATTCTTGCTCGTTTCAGCATGCAGGATTCCAAGAAGGGTTTTCTTCCCTTCAGACATGGAATCACTCTATCTAAGGACCAATGGACCCAATGTCCTAAGACACCTTGAGGAGATAGAGGAAAAACCCCCCCCATTTTTGAAGGCAGTTTCCCATATGCTTCTGCAGTGGAAAGCCTTTATGTATGCAATGTGTTGTTACCAGACCTTGAACAGACCTGATATCTGTTTTGCTGTTGGCATGGTTAGCAGATTTCAATCTAATCCTGGGCGAGAACACTGGACTGCAGTCAAGCATATTATCAAGTACTTGAAAAGGACTAGGGATTATAGGTTAGTTTATCAATCTGACGATCTTGTACCCATTGGGTATACAGATTCGGATTTTCAGACTGATAAGGACTCTCGGAAGTCAACCTCTGGTAATGCTTTTGTCTTGGGAGGTGGAGCCATAAGTTGGAGGAGTATTAAGCAAACTTGTGTTGCTGACTCCACCATGGAAGTTGAATATGTGGCAGCTTCTGAAGCTGCAAAGGAAGCTGTATGGCTTAGGAACTTCCTTATGGATCTAGGCGTAGTTTCTTCAGTGCAATTGCCGCTCTATTACACTTTATTGTGATAATAGTGGGGCAGTTCAACTCGAAGGAGCCGAAGCCATAAAAGGGGCAAAACACATTGACGAGGAAGTATTTCATTTGATACGAGGACATAGTTCAAAGGGGAGCATGTCGATTTAGTGACCAAAGATTTGCATTCGCGAACACAAACCTGGCGATTCCTTTTACAAAAAAGACTTACCAGCAAAGACTTTTTGGACAGTCATGTAGAAGGAATGGGAAGTTAAGTTATAGATGCATGGGTTATGAGTCTAAGTGGGAGATTGTAGAGAATTATTCTATTAACCCATGCATATGTAATAGTATAGCTATGATGGATTTTCTATTGACAATTATTTCTTTTGTAATTTAATTTGGGAAATTTGCATTGTAAATAAATGTTTCATTTAGGCATATTGAACAATAATTGTGATTAGTACATTTTGTATGTACCTTTAATTGACCAAGCTAGAGAACTGGGATGGTTAGAACTGGACTCGTTAAACATATTCTCTAGAACATTTAGGAAATAATGTTTATTGTTTCTATAATTCTTGATTTATCTTTAATATGAGCAAACATTGATTGTTCTTGTGTTTGATTCATTAAAGGGTGAGTTTCATTATTGGATAATATTTCTCGGTGAATTTGGGCAAAGATATTTTGTGTTTTGTGAAAATATTAATTAATGATAGAATCCATGTCTCGGTTTAGAGATTGATGATGCACTTTAAGTAAGCTTATAAGGTTTCATGGTGTAAACCCGTGCAGGTGGTATTGAATCCGGACACAGAAATAAGCGTTGAGCGGCAATCTTAAAGTATATTGTGATTTAAATAAAATTGTCAGTAAGTTATTTTTTAAATGACCAAGCATCTGTAATCTTAACGTGGGGAAACATTATTTTATTATGTTGTGGAAATTTGTAAAATAAATAAGGAGTTCAAGTCATGAGTTTTTGTGGATAATTCATGATTTAATTATAATTGAGGGAATATGTTGGTCTACATTAGGTTCTTATTATATAATTAGTAGCCTTGATTATTTTATTCCTGCGGTCCCCTGTAGTGCCCTAATTTATTTGGGAAAGTTAAGGGTGTATTAACAAAATAGATAAATTATTTTTAGTTTTTTTAAATAATTGATTTTATTTTAATTAAATAATTTTTTTATTTAATTTTATTTTATATTAAAAAAATATATCTTCCTATCGAAGGATGTTTTTTTTTAATATAAGAATTGGAAACCCTAAGAATAAAGAGACGCACGTTATTCTTTCTTCTGCCACTCAGGAGAGTTCCAAAAGAGAGATAGTTAGGGTATTTACTGCAGAAGGATCGTGGGTGACTCCAAGGATCTCTGAAAAGAAAGGGGACCCGTCGTGAAGCGATTCTGCGCTTCCAGAGGTCAGTTTATTGATTTGTCGATATGTTTTTAGTTTGCCCTCATTATTGGTTTCCGATAAGGGTGTGTTTCCGCTTTATACCCGCTCCCATCAGATTTTTACACACTCCATCCAATCACAACGATTCTCGTTCAAAACGATGGATATGGACATAGTACAACCTGGTCAACTTTGCATTGCAAACACAAAAAGGTTTCATACTTTGTTTTTTTTTTTTTTTATTATATTTTTTTATATTATCTTTTTTTCTTTCTTTTGATAATATCTACAAGATTTATACTTAGGATGAACCTTTCATGCCAACGTTTGGTTGTAGGATCAAAAAACCATTCACATTTGATATTATGGTTTGCTTTCGTTACACAAATTATGTTATTTGCATTTATTTTAGTTACAACCTTCATGCCAACGTTTGGTGTAGGATCAAACCATTCACATTTGATATTATGGTTTGCTTTCGTTACACAATTATGTTTATTTGTCATTTATTTTAGTTACACAATTATGTTTATTTAGTTACACAATATCAGATTTTCTTTTTTCCTTTTGCCATTTATTTTAATAACACACAATGCAACTACAACAAAATAATAACTAAAATAACTAAAACAACTAAATAACAACTGATTTTTTGTATGAAACTACAAGAACAACCAAAAAAATGAAATTCCAAAAAAAAAAAACCAAAAAAAAAAGAACAACTTGTACCTGATCTGACGACTGCGAACAAAGAGGAGAAGGGCTTCTCCGGCAACCGGTGCTGCAATAGAGCGGATAATGAGGCGGCAAATGGCTAGGACGGTGCTGCAAACAGGGGAGGAGAAGAAAGAAGAAGGAGGCTGCTCTTGTAATAAAGCCCTAACTTTTGCAACCGACCAATCGGTCGCAAATTATTTAAAAAATCGGTCACAATTTTTAATTCTGCGATGTCATTTTAATGTGGCGCAAATTGCAATCGATTTGCGACCATATCAGTCGGTCGCAAATGGTCAGTCGCAAATCAGTCTCTAATCCTTCGCAGACAGAAAAGTAAATTTGGCTCTGAATTTGCAGCGCGCAATTTTACGATGGACAATTAGATTGTCGCAAATCCGTAGCAAAATATGTCACAAATTCGTCTTAAACATGTCGCAAAATGGAAACCAAACTGGCGGAAATTATTAGCACCACAATTAGCGACGGATTTAGTATCCGTCGCAAATTCTGTCGCCATTTGGTCGCAAATCGGTCGGAAGATATTCACTCTCACAATCATCGCAAGATTGTGACCGATTTACATCGGTCGCAAAAACGCTTTTTTTTTTTTTGTAGTGATTTAGTTTAGAAATAATGATATTTTGAGGAAACTCTTACAGCTTCTATAAGATATTAAGTTTAAAATTGTGCATTTCTAGAATAATAATGATATGATTAAAGTTTTTTATTATTAATTATAGACTTAATTTCTTCAAAAAAAAATTATGGACTTAATACTTTTAGCACAATATGTAGTATCTTGTATAGAATATCCATGAATCCGGTGATTTATTTGTAGTCCAGGTGAGGGGAGTTATAAAATAATTATGATTTATTTATTTTTCAATAAAAATTATATATAATTTTTAATTAAAATATTTTAATTAGTAATAGATAAGGATGTTTTAAGATTTTTAATTAAAAATCTTTTATTTTTTTTGAGAAATATAATTCATTTAGGTAAAATTACTATTACGTCTTTGTATAATTGGAAATACAACCAGTCCATCCCTCTGTTTCATGAAATGCATTTAGTAGTCCCTAACTTTTATTTCCATCATATGGTTGAGTCCTTCTGTCCTAAATTACCCATTTTGCCATTAGTTCAAAGCAAAAAGACCAGTCAGAGGAGTGATAATAAAAAAAAAATACCAAAGTATCTTCCACATACTTTGTAACAATATAAATGCACGTGCTATATATACTTGCTTTACCTATAATTGAAATTTACACTCTATCTTGTAAAGAAGAGAGACGCTAGGGTTTGAAGGAAGAAGATGACTTCTTTGAGCGGTGGAGACAGTGGTTGGGAAGGCAGGTTCGTCAATACAATTTGCAAATATGGGAGGAAGGCTAGCATTCGGATCTCAGAGACTAGCAAGAATAAGAATATGTTATATTACGATTGTGTGAATAATGAGTGCGGTTCGTTTTTGAGATAGTGCAAGCTAACTGAAGCAGCTTCTGAGGTACGCGTTAGGGGTATTGTTGTGGATTCCCATCTGAGAGCAAGAGGGGTAAATGATTTTGAAGCTCTGCTTCATAGAAACCTTGTTAGAGATGTTTTGGAAGTTAAAAGGGAGGTCTACACCATGAAGGATGAGAATAGGCGACTTATGGGAAAATTGAACGGGATGGATGGGGTTGTAAGGCATATGAAGCAGCTGAATGTGATATACATGTTTAGTATTTTTGTGCTTTTTTTTTGTTGTGTTTGCTATTTAAGTAAAAGTTGTAGCTGATGGGGGTGTAAACGCAGTGGATGGGTGATGTTGTAATGAATATTAATGGATAGTTAGGTATGTAATGAATGACTGTGGCATTTTGTTAGATTTGCAGTTTTAGTTGTGTTGGCCTTTGCAACTATTGTGAAGTAACTTTTTGGATGAGCAATGAAATGACAAATATTCAAGGTTGCCTAATATGAACTGTTACAATTAGTTGAAATAAAGAATTGCCAAAAGAACTTATATTTTGCATTAATATTGGTAATCTATATCAAACTGTTAAGAGTACCTGTAAATCAATAATGGCGAGATTTATAGGTAGGTACGAGCAACTATTAAATACCACTATTTGTATGACATTGACATCCTCATTGAAGTATAAGAAAATATATAAAAAAAAGAACAAAAGAAGTTACATGTGCCATTTACCAAAAAATATTCCAAAAAATCCAAAATCAGTACCCCAGCCTCATTACCCCCTATTTCAGTACCCCTAACATCACAACCCCCTATTTCAGTAGCCCCACCATCATTACCTTCAATTTCACTACCCCTAACCTCATGCGCTGCAAATTCAGTATCCCCAACTCCATTACTACCAAAATCAGTACCCCTAACTCCATTAGCACTAAAAATAGCTCCCCCAACTTCATTAGTAGGCTCATTAGTAGATTCAACTACATTAGGCTCAACAAATTTAGATTGAATTTCATTCTCATTGACTTCATTACTCACACCTCTGGCCCTTTTATTAGGACACTCAATTATAGTCACTTCACTTGAATCAAGAGGAACATGAGCTTCAACTACTATAGGTTGCATATTATTTATTGTAACATAAAGTTCAGCTTGACTAGTTTCCTTAAACATCTCAAACATGTGCATCAACCCCCTATCAAATTCTATTAAAAGCTCCTCTCCAAAACTTATGTCTATGAATGTTGAATCAATGTCAAACATTTCATAGATATCATTCACCAAGTCCAAATAATAATACTCGTTAGTGTCAACATTCACAACAATATTAATAGCACCATCAAGATGGATAAGAAGATAATAGTATGGAGGGACATCCATTCTGAACAAAAAAAAAAAACACAAAAAATAGACATGGAAAAAACTCGGTTCCATTCCCACTATACAAACCTTAACTCTATTTCATTTCAACTACAGCCTACTGAAGAGAAAAATATCAACCATTTGTGAACCAAACATGCCAAGATCATGGAAAAAGCTCAATAAATTCACCTACTTTATATGTTGTTCACCTATTGTTAGAAACATGCCTTTTCTACTTTAAACTTGGGCTTCCTTCCTTCAAAATAGCTTTTCGTCAATGCTTTGCCCACTGATTCAACCTAACTAGTGCAGCGAAGTGGTTTTGTTAAGCTTTTTCGTGTCTCAGGGCTATCCCATGGTATCCCTTTGCTTCCATCTAGGACAGTTGAAAGCGAGAGAGAGAGAGGGAAGTGAGGGAGAACGGTTGAGTTTTTTTTTTTTGTCCTAAGCTTTGTCTTTGTCGTTTTTATTATAAGGTTATTTAAGTCTTTTTGCTTTAAACTAATGGCAAAAATGGATAATTTGGAACGAAAAAACTCAACCATACGACGAAAATAAATGTTAGGGACTACTAAATGCATTTCATGAAATGATGCTTGTGGCAGAAGGAAAAAAAAGGGCCAGGGTTGACCATGTGATTATTTTACATGACTCTGCAGCAACGAATATGGAGGTTGCGGATGACTCTCTTGATCATTTCATGAAAATTGATGCTTGTGGCAGAAGGAAAAAAAAAGGGCCAGGGTTGACCATGTGATTTATTTTACATGGACTTTGCAAAGCAAGAATATGGAGGTTTGCGGGATGACTCTCTGATGAAAATGTTCTTGGAGTTCATTCAGATGCTATCCTTATTCCGGTTGCGGTCTTGGAGTTCATTCAGATGCTATCCTTATTCCGGTGGGACCTGAAACCCAGGCCCACCGAACATCATGAATATTCTTTGTTGGAACTGTTGAGGACTTGGCAACCCTCGGGCAGTAAATGCACTTAATGAACTTATTCGATGTCATAAGCCAACTGTTCTTTTTTTATCTGAAACTTTAGTTGTTTTGAATAAAATAGAACAGCTCCACTGCAAACTTCATTATGATTATTGTTTTACTGTGGATGCCATGGGATGCAGTGGTGGTTTAGCCATTTTGTGGAATTCTCCTGTTAACTTAGAAGTTCTACGTTACTCTCCAAATTTTATTGATATGAAAATTGTTGAAACTGAAGGTTTTATTTGGCGCCTCACCGGATTTTATGGTATGCCGGAAAGACACCGTAGACAAGCTTCATGGAATGTTCTTCGCTCCTTAGCTCGGTTGGAAAATCTCCCCTGGCTAATTTGTGGAGATTTTAATGATCTAATGTACGCTGAAGAAAAGAAAGGGCGTCTTCCTCATCCTCCATATTTATTACAGGGTTTCTCGGACACCGTGGCTGACTGTGATCTGGTTGATTTGGGCATGTCGGGGTACCCTTTTACTTGGGCTCACGGTTGTGGTCAACATCGGGTGGAGGAAAGATTGGACAGAGTTTTGGGAAATGTCTTTTGGCAGAATCACTTTCCTAATTATCGGGTTGAGAATTTAGTCTCAAGTAAGTCCGATCACTCTCCTCTTTTAATTTGTACTTCTCCAAGAATCAACAATCGACGGTATCAACGTTTTCAGTTTGAAAATATCTGGCTAGAGGAATCTGATGTGGATGTTGTGGTTAGAGAGAGTTGGACTAGTTATGATGGTGTTGATATAACGGGGAAGATAAAGGTTTGTGGCGACCGTTTACAAAGCTGGGGTAGGAGACTCAAGCTTCGATTTAGACAGGATGCAAAGCAGTTGACTGTGCAGCTCGAGAACCTTCGGCTCAGTGGGAATATTGAACAGTTTGAAACTGTACAGCGTAAGCTTGATGATGTTCTGCACCGTGAAGAGGTCTTCTGGTCTCAACAAGCGAAATCCCTTTGGTTGCAATCTGGGGATATGAACTCTAGGTACTTCCATGCAACTGCTAAAAAACGGAAGAAATCTCAACAGATTTTTCGGCTGAAGGATGCTACTGGTGAGTGGATAAACGACAGTAATTTGTTGATAGGTATGGTCAGGGATTACTTTGTTAATCTTTTCGAGGTAGGAGATGTCGACTTAAGTCCTGTTGTGGACTTATTTTCTCCTTTGGTTTCTGATAATGATAATACTATGCTACTTGGAGATATTTCAGTGGATGAGGTTAAATTGGCAGTGCAACAAATGCATGTGGATAAAAGCCCAGGGATGGATGGACTAAATCCTAGATTCTATCAGAGGTTTTGGGATATTGTGGGTCATGATGTTGTTCAAGGTTGTCGAGACTGGTTATTGTGGGTCATATGTGTTCAAGTTGTCGAGACTGGTTCAATGCAGGTGCTTTTCCGATAATCTAAATGATTACCTTAAATTGTGTTAATTCCGAAAGTAGAGGAACCAAAGGCAGTGAAGGACCTCCGACCTATTTCACTCTGTAATGTAGTTTACAAAGTCTTTGCAAGTCTTTGCTAAGGTATTGGCGAACAGGCTGAAGATCATTCTACCTCGTCTTATTTCCTTATCTCAGTCAGCTTTTGTCTCGGGCCGATTTCTTTCAGATAATGTGTTAGTTGCTTTCAAGTTAATTCACTCTATGCAAACAAGAATGAAAGGTCGACAAGGAGCTTGCGCACTGAAAGTAGATATTTCTAAAGCCTATGACAAAGTAAATTGGTGCTATCTACAGCTGTTATGCAGGGATTGGGTTTTAGTCAGCGCTGGGTTGACTTGATCATGTTGTGTGTTTCCTCTGTTACATACTGGGTTGGAGTGAATGGTGATAAGGTTGGCCCAATTATCCCAAAAAGGGGGTTGAGACAAGGATGTCCATTATCTCCCTATTTATTTATACTCTGTGCTGAAGGCCTGTCCAAGCTGTTTAGTAGATCTGAAAATGAAGGTCGTATCAAGTTCCGTATCCAAGGCTGTAGAGTATCGAGAACTGCTCCTCGTTATCTCACTTGTTGTTTTGCAAGATGATAGTTTGTTCTTTTTTTGAGCGCATCAACAGATTCAAGCTCTGGAGATTAAACTATATTCTAGTTACTTAATGAAAGCAGCCTGCGGGTCAAGCGTTAATTGGCAAAAATCAGGTTATTTTTTTTTCAAAAAGCGCTAATACTTCTAAGTGGATAAGGAATGCTGTTTAAAGGGGTTTTTTTGAATGTGATTGCTCCTTTGACCATGGAAAACATCTTGGGCCTAGCCTTCATTTAGTTTTGGTTGGGACAAGAGGCCGTATTTTTTTCTTTTTTGAAGGATCGTGTGAGGCAAGTTGGTTAGTGTTTGAACCAGAAACTTTATCAAAAGCGGGTAAAGGGTGTTAATCAAGGCCTGTGGCACAAGCCATTCCTTCATTCTATAATGAGTGATTTCCTTATAACCGACATGTATTTTAGAAGGAGTTACACGAGGTTAATCGAATTCTTAATTGGTGGGGAAGGGAAGATAGATGGTTGAGTTGGAAAAAGGTTGTGCGTAGCGAGGGAGAAGGCGGTTTGAGTTTTAGACATCTGCGAAGCGTTCAATCTAGCCATGCTAGGAAAGCACCGCTGGAGAACTGTTACACTAAATTCTCTCTTTTTATAGTTCTTTTCAAATCCAAATTATTTCCCAAGTGGGGATTTTCTTGGTGCCAGGCACTGGCAGCAATCTAAGTTTTTATGGAAAGAGGAATTTGTGGCAAGCTAAGGAGCTATTTGTTCAGGTTTTCGGTGGCGCAAATTGGAGATGGCCAATCAATTAATGGGTCTGGAACGAACTCTGGCTACTGAGTGATAAATCAGTTTCGGGTTGACTTGCCTATCCTTCCTCGGTTTTGAGCATATCAGGGTTTCAGATCTTATTTTGGCACAAAGGAGATCGTGCTTGGAACTTGCATCTGATTAAATGGTCTTTTCAACCCTTCACTTGCTTGAAGCTATTGCCTCTAATTCCTTTTTAGCTACAACCGTTCA